GATTTGGTGAGTGGCCAGAGTTGCCTGAACGACAGGCCATGCGATTAGAACTTGTTTTCTCACAGGAAGGACTGGCTTTCCCAGGACTCGAAAGTAGGTTGCCTCGAGGCTTTACGTGTTGATTTGAACCCAACATTCTCAATCTTGGAGAGGCCGTGCTAAACTTTAGTCCGTCCGGACAAGAAAGAAATCAACAGAGAGAGAAGCCATTCTTCAACGAACTCTTCAACCTCTGATCTGAAAATGGTTCCTTTTGGTGCCCATGAAGCTTACTCCACAATTTTTCACACAAAATTAAGGGTAGGAAAGCAGAAAATTATTCAGCTCTACTTTCCACCATAGTTTGACAGTTCTACCGAATAAACGATAGGAAGCTGCAAAACGCACACAAGGTCAGCGATTTGGACCAGCCTCAATTTTGGATTATCACACTTAGCGTAAAAGAGACCACTGAGACGTCTACTTTCTTACGAATATAAATAGAAATAGACAAATACATTTAACAGAAAATGCATGCGGGAACCAATAAGAAGCTAATTAGGAAAAATGTGCGTATATGAAGCAAAAAGTTAAAATTAGAGGACTTTTACCTGCTAAGATTTTTATAGAGAAACTTGGTCACCACGTCTCAGGAAAATTTAGGGCCTGATAGTGGGGTTTTACTCCCAATGGGATTCGAAACCCGCCATAAGCCTCATGGCAACATGCTGACAGACTAACATATACTCACGACTGCCAGTTGGTTATAGACAAGGCCGATATAATTTTCAAAGCAAGTCAAGCCTCGTCCTAATTACATTTTAAAGTGGGATAAACAAACACATATTTGCACATACAATCGGAGTAGTATGAGTGTGTTTCTGAACTATCCGTAATAGTTGAATAATAATCTAGTGGGGAAAAACTCCCCATTCTCAAAATAAGCAAAATTTGGATGAATTCCTCAACATTATGAACTAACCTGATGAAATATTTAAATTCACAATTGAGGTGGAAGAGGATGGGCTACGACATTTTCCGGATGTTGAGGTCATTCACTCCAACTGGATACTCACAAAGAGACTATTCAGAAAGAACTCACATGCTGGAATAATCCTCAATTTCCAGTCTCATTACAACTAAAGATTGAATATAGGAATAATGAAGAGTTTTATCATCAGAAGCCTAAGATTAATGGACATTGAGTTCTGGAACGAGGAGCTAGAGAAACTGACCCACATTTGCCCGAGTAACGGGTACCCATGAGAAGTCATTTAAACAAAGATAGCGCCCATAAAAAGTAAATATCAACATTGATGTTACGAAACTAGAATTATGAATCTGGAAGACGACCAAAAGTGTGTATGGCTGCCCTCAAGTGAAATAAATTAAAAATCGCTAACATTACTAAGAAAGTGGAATATCAAGATGGTAACAAAGGAAAAGGCAATATTTCTCACCATCCTGACATGAGAAGAATGAAAAAGCAGATTGCTTGGAAGTCTATCGCGTGGACTATGGCAACTGTGAGCAGAAGTATAATGGTGAAACAGGAATAAAAATCAGCCTACAAATCAAGTAATACAAAAGACCCTACAGAAGCATGGATACAGGAGTATTCAAAAATAGTGGAACACAGCGAACAGACGGGACCTGAAATTGACTCAAAATCGAAATAAATCCTGGCTGAATATGGCGAAAATACAAGAAAACGCAAGATCCGAGAGGCCATCGATGTCCCGACTGAAAGAAATCTGATGAACAGAAGATTTGAAGAAGGCAGGATCAGTAAAAACTTTGCATATTGCCTGGGCAAACTCGGAAGAGTTCAGGGCACGGCAATATCAGCAAAAAAAGATGAT